AAGAAGCCTCAAAAATTTCTGGATAGCCCTGCGATCGACCGGAAAAGCTGTTGTGCACATAAGCCCTGTTCCAAAATGTCACGACAATTTCGAGTCGAAGCTAAGTGTGTGGCGCACAATGAACTGGCCACTGTCTGAACCTATTTTCCCTTATTTTTGGACTTTCGCTTGATTTATATTCATGTTTTTTATTATTTTTATTATAAGATTGTTACCGTATAGTTGTGTCCTTCGAGCGGATACTGCGTTGCTGCGTTCGCAATCAAAGAACGTCTGCTGACGAAAAATTACATTTCATTGTTAATCGGAATCCAGTTGTCGTTGCTCGCTGCAAAAACTTACTTCTGTGCATGTGAGATTAGTGGTGGAACCGTAACATAATTCATTTTAATGGACGGAAAAAGGACGAAACTCAGAATCCGAGAGTTTTTAATCAAGACAGTAAAAGTTATACTCGCCGACACAAATATCAAAAAAGTGAAACAATTTCTTCTGTGCTTACTGGTATCGGTAAAGTGGTAACACCCAAAAAGTAGCAGTGGAACATAATGAGTTTTCGCTGAAGGACTGGGATTACAACAACAGTAGTAAATGAATGGAACCTACTGCATAATTTGCAGATGGCGCGGGATTGTTTTTGGGTGGTCACTGCCACGACTGGCACTAAGCATCAACTGTCAGCAGACTTTTGTATTTGAGGCCATATATTGAAAACAGTAACCGACTGCGGACCACGTTCTGCACCATGTACAGTACGCCGACACACACTGTATTCGATTTGTTCCGCACAGTCTAACTTAAAAAAGCAACAAGTACTCGTTTTGTACACAAAAAATATCGTAAAATTTGCTATCGATATATTATTGAGTATTGATGAAACAGACGGCAAAAACCTGCAGAGGTGTTCACATAATGGCGGTCCGCAATGGATTGAATTTGGAAAAATTCTTTGGCCAAGAAAGAAGGCTCCTGATGTGCTGTAAAGCCAGCGGTTTTGGTCATTCGGGTGCGAGTGGGCTCTTTTAGGATACGCCACGTATTCGATAAAATGGACATTTGCACTCATATGTGGAAGCGTTTGCATATTCGTGGTCTTCACAGACCAATACCTTTGGGGATACTCAACCTTACGGCTGATGGAATTGAAGTGAGCTCCGCAATGCTGTAGTTTACCTCTCCTATACACGGCAGGTACTTGGGTAGAATGTGATATAGTGGCAAGTGGCACACTTACCACGCGCGGGGTACGGGGATCGAATCGCGGAGTGTTGGCGTTCGGTCCGAGAAAACCAAGCCTATGCTACCATGGGTCGGTTTGTTAAATGGCAACCCGACTTCTGCGGGGTACTGACGGACTTGCACAATCGGTTGGCCCCCGCAAGTCGAGGCTTCATGCTTTCCTATACATAACAGGTGCAGAATCGCCCTTGATTTCAGAAGGTCAGATTGGGTTTCTCACTTGAAGTCCGGCATAGCCCTCATCTGGAACCCAGCTCTAAGGGTTCCTTTGAGAGGGAATAGGCCCGGAGGCGTTGTGGTCTTAAATGGCGCCAACACAAACGTTTTTGCCGCGAAGATTTACTCTATCATGGTGGAGAACCGGACTCAGGAACGGTTGTAAAACGCACAGTAATTCTCGTCTCACTGGCGAGTTGTTGGACGACGCGGTTTTTCGGTGGATACGGGGAGCGAGCTGAATGGCCTTGGTTCAAAAGCTCCACAGATGAGAACTACAAATGAATCCGTCGGTAAATATTCCAGAGAATATTCCTGGTAGGGGATAAGAGATGCGGCCTGCGTTAATTAGCCGAAACGGGATTCTGAAAATAGCGTAACAGACAAAGTCGGACGAAACTCCGAGGTGTCGGGGGAGCACTCCATTGTTTCTTCACTACTCAAAGATCGGAATGGTATGTGGAAGGATTTCCTGAGATGCTTTCAATTCCGCGTGTAATGGGCCAGGGAAACTCCTGCGACCAGGTGCAGAATGTAGACCTATGAATAGGGCTAAGGGGGAGAGTGCGTCCAGGGTGGTTGCACTGCGCAGAAAAGTGGGTAGGATGTGGGTAAGATGTGTGGCAAAGGTACCCTTGAAAATGAGTCGTTTACTTGAAAGCAAAAAAATTCAAATATAGAAAATCCCGTGGGAATATCGCTTCTTATGACACCACCTTCCTTGAACCTCACCTCAGCGTCTGATTCAGGAGGTGTTCAGCCTTCGCAACACGGCAATATAGAAAAAAGAATGGTCGTATAAAGTGATTCCAAACGAGTACCTTCTGCAATTTTGTAGCGTAGTTGACATTCCTGCCGAAATGGGAGTACCTACGAAAGTTACGTGAATGGGTAATGAGTTGGGTAAGTGAAATGGAAATGCCCTAATCGAAGTCGGAACCCGTTTCTACTCAAAGAGGAACATCACTCCGTACATGGAAATGCCTTTAAATTGCGCCAGTGTCAAGAACAAAGGGAACATCAAACGGAATTGCTGCCGCGGAAACGATCGTTTATGTTTTCCGATTTTTTTTCTTCGGTACGAACAACACCACGAACACAAAGTCGGAATGTTAAGAGCCATGTGGAAAAAGTGCACACATTGATGACGGACGAAGGACGTACGCAATTGATTGCCACCGAAAACCCACGTAGTCAGCCATTAGGCTTAACACTTTTTCTAACGTAATGTTCCTCGTCTCAAGGTTATATTGGGAAACGTTATTGCATCAGAAAAACAGGTTCACAATAGAATACGATATTCGACACCCGAAAATGCTTTTTCAGGCGCGTAAAATCAATAACTGCTTCGATTATAGTCTTTGTTTTTTTTACCAAACATCTTCCAGAGAATACATGTCTAGTTGAGGCTTCCTGGATTAGTACTGGACTATGCAAAAAAGGGATCACAACCAGAAGTCTGAAAAGCAGTTCAAATTGGTAAAATTTCTCCTCCTTAACCCTCAATAACCATCTTTTCCAGCACTTTCTCATTATCGACCAATAGAATGATCAACCCAATAAGGTATAATAACCTTTAGTGTCCCTGAATTTTTCCAAGGCGGTTGCCTCTCTTGGGCAAAACTCCTGTCAGGAAAGAGGTTTCTGCCATTACAGTAATAGTAGCCCTTTTCATTGATAACCGAACTACGGTCCGTGCATTTGAAGTGGTGAGACCAGATTGGTTCTAGGTGCCACCCTCATAGCCGAAAATGGCTCCGGATAAATTTATATCTATCGCTTTTGGGCAGAATTCTAAGGACTAGGATAGTAATGTAGGGAAATTACGGCTTCAAACCAACTGGTTCTGTGCATATGCTAATCTGCCCTGATGTGGTTCCCAGGGTTCTTACAGAGGGCAGAATAGTTTTGCGTGCTTGTTCTCACACCATTCCAGTTCCATGCTACACACTGCTATTTCCTGACTCAAAACTGACCGGCTTACATTTGAGAAAAACCGTGGACTTTTCTAATCTAACAGACATGGGAGGAGAGGCTACCGGTTTCTGGAGATTTCGCTGGACTCGTTCAAATTGATACTTTCCCTTCTGTCGTTAGCCGCCAAGGTCACTAGCGTGCAAAAACTATCAGTGAGAACGGGTATTTCGATATTAGTCGATGTTTTAGGATTGGTAGAAGGAACTAAAGGCAGCCATAGTGGAAGGGAGTGAAAAAAATTCAAAAAAATTCTCATACAAAATTCTGAGGCCATGAGGTCTTGAGCTTACTTCTACGCTATTCCATTGATTTGGCACAATTATTCAGTCAATTGTTGAATCAAATCAATTGAATTTGTTCGTTGTTAGAGATTTTTTTTTTTTTTCCTTTGTTGCCGTTTTCACAGGGCGGAAGTGGTGTAGTGGCAAGTGGCACGCTTACCACGCGAGCGGTCCGGGGATCAAATCCTGGGTCGTGAGTCGCCCGGGCCAACCAAGCCTTCCATCCCTCCGGGGTCGGTTAATTGGTACCAGACTTGTCTGGGAGGATAAAAACACTGACTTGTACATCGGCTGGCCCCCGCAAGTCATTGTATAGGCCACATCGCATTCAAATGCCACTGCGAATGTGATTGGAATGAAAGTGCGTGGCGCAACCCAAAACGGGATTCCTCAATGCCAAACGCTTTATGCTTTACTTTTCACATAAACTTGCTTGTGTAGTAATTAATAATAAAAGCTCTGCGGCCAAAGAAGGCTGGAAGGATTGAGCCTTGCCGATTGTTGAGCCATCAGGAAACTCTACTGAGCTGTTTAGCAGTCGGCATGTCATTTTGAAGCATTTCCGCATCCAGCGGTGGCGTTAGCAAATTGCCAAATTTGACAAAAATTTGTCGCATTTCCAGAAGAGCGCAAACTGCACCGCGCTAGCCTTCGTAGGAAGAGGGCGGGACGAGCAGCCGGCATCCTGTCATACCGACGGTTATGGCGGCTCAGCAAAAACACGACAGATCTGGTCGTGCACTTCGAGAATGCCACACTGTAAAATGACCACGATGCGAAACCTATTTAAAGACGTCGACTCCTTCGGAAAGCAGTCATCCACAGCTACAACAGCGACATCGGCGGTGCTCCGTGTGAGTAAGTCTACTTCGAGTCTGAGGTTAATAGATGATGGTCTCATGCCCTCATATCGTTTCAGACGATGAGTTTGACTACAGTAGTGTCCGGCGTTGCCGGCGTAGCCGCCATAGCTACCACCTTCAGCATCATCATAGTGGGCTATCTTATCAACGACATCAACAACTTCTATGACGATGCCATCGAGGAACTCGCCGATTTCAAGGTGAGAGTTATTAAATCTTCTACTCACTTCTTTATCTACGAAAATTCATTAATATTTGCTTCGGAATCGATCTCATGATTCCAGGATATGGCTAACTCTGCGTGGCACGAGATGAGGCCTGCACCACAAGATGCTTTCCGTCATGCACGTTCCATCGCACGCCAACGTCGTCAACCGTACCCAGCACATTGCAACTGCGGACCACAAGCAGGAGGCTGCCCTGCCGGACCACCAGGACCTCCTGGTCCCCCAGGGCTGCCTGGAGAAGCCGGACTTCCAGGACAGGCAGGCAAAAAAGGAAATGACGGTATTGCGATCTCAGGAGGAGGTGGAGCAGGAGGATGCGTCAAGTGCCCTGTAGGCCCTCCAGGGCCGCCTGGCCCAGAGGGACCTCCTGGACCTCCGGGACCCAATGGAATGCCCGGTGCTGGAGTCTCTGCTCCAGGAGTTGGAATGCCTGGACCTCCAGGACCACCAGGAGATGCTGGACCACCCGGAGCACCAGGAGAACCTGGTGCACCAGGACATCCTGGAGCAGATGGAAAGAAAGGAGCTGGACTGCCAGGACCTCCTGGGCCACCAGGACCAGCGGGACCACCAGGACCTGCTGGTGCAGATGGAGAAGGAGGAGCCGGTGCGAATGCTGGACCACCCGGACCTGCCGGCCCACCAGGAAAGCCTGGACCACCTGGACCCGATGGCGCACCAGGACAAGCTGGAGGCGAAGGAGCACCTGGCAGTGATGCCGCCTACTGTCCATGCCCTGCTAGAAGCACTGTGTTAGCGCTGAGAAAGAGCGCTGCAGTTGAGTCATACTCAGCTACTGAGCCAGCCAAAGATCACAAACACAGTGCTAAGGCGAGACGAGTTTGAAGCACAACGATTTCGAAGAGGAACTAGTGTCACGTTATTCAATCCGGTGTTAATCACCGCATATCGATCGATTGAATAAATCTTTTAGCAGCGAACTTTTGTTAGAGTTGAAGAATTTGGCGCTCATTATCTATAGGAGATGACTTTTGTTGGGTGAATAGTTTGAATGGCGCTAATGATACTCACTGTTTCCTTCGGGAACTTGGGCAACGACTACTTTTCGGTTCCGCTCCCGTCTTCGAAATCCTCAGCGCTTTGATCACTAAAACAAGAAAATATTTTACTCTTCCTCTAATTATTGGGCCTAAAGTTTTTGGACTGAAAAACGCAACTTAAAGGTACCGGACAATCACTTGCTGCCTAGAGAATTTCTCAGTATCAATACCTAATCTAAGTTTCTTGGTGGCATCCCAGGGCCCAATCGAGTTTGAATGCGACACCTTTTGTTATTGGGGCTACAAAAATGTATCATAAATAGCTGACTTTGTTAAAAGCGGTCAGAATGTGCCCCATTGTTCTCTTGCTGTTCTCGATGGTTCAAATTTCAAGGCATTATTCCTGACTAAACTCTTGGCAGGTAGCTACATCTTGCATGTTACTAGGAAGCGCAACTTCTTTTCCCTTCTACGAAATCCTCATCAGCGCTTTGATCACTAAAACAAGAAAATATTTTACTCTTCCTCTAATTATTGGGCCTAAAGTTTTTTGGATTGAAAAACGCAACTTAAAGGTACCGGACAATCACTTGCTGCATAGAGAATTTCTCAGTATCAATACCTAATCCGAGTTTCTTGGTGGCATCCCAGGGCCTCATCGAGTTTGAATGCGACACTTTTGTTATTGGGGCTACAAAAATGTGTCATAAATAGTAAATTCTGTGAAAAGCGGTCAAAATGAGCCCCATCAACTTTTGCACACCCTTCGGAAGCAGATAGATGAAATTGCTTTATTTTCCTACAGTTTGCATCTCCCAAAATTCCATGCAGAACTTCATGTGGATTCATGTTATGGGGAGACCTTATTGTTTGTTGAGAGAACGCGCTCAAAGTTCGAGGCCGTCGATTTTGTTTCATGAATAGAATCTTAGCCCCCGGTAGGCCGTCCGTTTGTTCGGAAGACAAGGAAGTCCCATTTTCTGAGTTTTGAAAGGAGGGTTGCATTTGCCGAAACCGGCCCTCATTTCTAAGAGAAATGGCAGGAAGGAATTTTTCGAAACGCAGGGCGCTCGGAGCATTTTTGGGATTTTGGGTGAGGAGATCGAACCGGGTCAAGCTGAACAAAGTTACACGACACTGGATGCTGCGACAGTACATCAGCAACCACAGCTGGGGGAGGAGGGGGAGGGGAGAGATGGGAGAGGGGTGGTATAGGCAGAAATGAAGAAGCCGTTTGGACAGAGCGAGCACCCGAAGTAAGGCGTGAATTATATTGTTCTGCTGTAGTCACGTACAATGCGCGACGCATTGACGCGTTAAAACGTGTGCTCGCCCTCGTTTTCTCTGCGCTCTCAACGAAGAGAGAACGCGTCGAGCAAACTCGCCAACTGTACTAAGCGCCGTTCATATAGGAGGTGGAGGATGGGCACACGCTCGCGCGCGGGCGCTCAGGCTCCCCGCAGCGCGGCGTACGCTTGCAACCTGACCATTCTGGATTGTCGCCCGACGAGGGGTAGCGTCGTTGTTGTCATGACCTTCAGAATGGCTACCGCAGAAAGCGGTCGCTGCGAGCGCAATGTACGTGATTGCGGCAAAACGTCGTAATTCACGCCTTACTTCAGGTGCTTGTTCTGTTCAAACGGCTTATGTGTATAGGAGTAAATTAAAATGGATTGGATGCGGTTTCAATATTCGCCAGATCTTTCCGTCGGAAACTAGTACTTCAATTTATTCTGTCACGTTTGGTAAATTTTAAGTAAAGTGATTGGTGCTTTAATTACACAAAAATCGCTGGTGAATCTATGCAGATATCTCAGTTTATTTCATAAAATAAGGTGAGACGGTTGACGATTTTTTTTGTCGTGCGTTGCAAGGAAAGTTCTTGCCGTTTTCGATGTTTCAAATTTCAAGGCAATATTTCTGACTAAACTCTTGGCAGGTCGCCACATAATGCACGTTACTAGGAAGCTGTAATTCATTCTCTATTCGATGGTGCTCTCAGCTCTACTGGATGCTGCTCCTACTTTTTCGAAGCCCTGAACACAACTGCATCACAGCAAATATCCGCGTGAATGTTCTCTTCCATTCGAATTGCGCTGGACACGAAGGAGCGGGGTACCAACTAATCAACTAATGATATGGAATATTCAAATGACCACGCACTTATGAAAAATGTGCCGTGCAGCGATAGTATGGAACGCTTGTGTAGGGATGGTCAGAGACTCGGAGGTGGTGAGGATGGTTTTAGATATTGAACATTAGTAAAATTTAGCTGAAACATTTACAGAATCAAATGTGCTAAGAACTCTCAAGGAGACCGCTACTGAGTTGGGCATAACCCATTAATGATTTCAAATTACGTAAGCAGCAAAAATTCTCGGTTTCCTACAGCTGTCTTCTTCAAACCAATGAAGACGTTACTTTCGGGTTGTGATATGCAATGCAGAGTAGATTTTTCCGCAATAACCTTCAAACTTCGAGTGAGTAGTTCGATCACGACTAGGGTCACCAAAACTTTGTGAAAACGCACTAGGAGAAGGTTGTGCTGCCTTTAAGCGGTCTGCAGCAGGTGAAGCTCTCCGTCCACAGGTGATACTATTGCAGTGCTACAGTATTTTTCGCAAGGTGTCAAAATACTCTGAAACCTTGACACAGCTTCCCAGCAAGGTCTGCCAGAAAAAGGAATGACTCTTCTCTGCGAAGCACCTGGGCCGAGGACCGCAAATTCGATCTGCAAAAAGAGAACTGGTAAGGGTACTGATCTGTGCAACAAATTTACTTTCACTTACTCACTGGTTTTCTTACCTATTCACTGCCACTTTTTCAACCGTCAAGATAGCACCTTAAAGGCATGCCCCAGGATCACATTGGTGTGGCTCTTGCACACGAATGCGAATGTATTGGTGCGAAATGGGCCGGCAGTAAAGAAAAAAGGAAAAGAATCCGTCAAAAACGCTTAGGTTAAGGGCTCACTCACCTTCCTAATCGGCTGTGCTAAGGGAATGAGAGACTAAGCGCGGAGAGGAGAGTATGAGGCGAGAGAGCGCTACAGATGAGAGAGCGCCAGACAACAGCCTGATAAGAGAAAAAAGTCTGCAGCTTCAGCAGCTCATTATAACTTACGTATCGA